AAAAAAAAAAAAAAAAAAAAACCTGTTTATAACAGTTATAAAGCACTTACTAGGTGCCGAGCCCTGTTCTTAGTGTTCTACAAATATTAACCCATCTAATTCTCATAACAGCCCCATGAGGTTTTCTTGACAGAGTCCACTTTCCAACTTCAAAATCATCTCAGTGGCTCTCTCAGAACCATGTTCTGCCCCTTTGTTAATTTGTTAAGGCCAAGAGAAGGTTCAGTTCTCTTGTAAGATCTGATGGTGAAAATAATCTAGAAGATTTTAACAGGCAAATAAGCCAGATTCTGACTATACTCGCCTTGCAGTCACAGGACTTCACCAATGGCTCAAACTGGAAACAAGTCTGTGGGTCACTGGGAGCACTAGGTGGTCTCTAGGCACCTTTCACAGCTAACCAATCAGATGGCCTTCATCCTGTATCTGAACATTCTGAAACTCCCCTCATGTTGTACAATGTTTCCACTTGACTCCTGAGAACTCTATTATCCTGGTCTAACTGCTTCTCTGATGGAACAAAATCATTTTTAATACTGTATTCAGGATACAGAAAGAAAAAAAAATAACTCAAAAGACTCAGTGGGGACAAGTCTTTGCTCTTTCTTTTTACCCCTCCAAATGACTCTACTCGGGGCCATTTTGCCCTCATTTCTTCCCTGTCCCAAGTTTCCTTTTCTTCATTTTCAGTTACTAGTCTTCCTTTCTTTATGATTTTCTTATTTAGTGTACCTATGCATAACACTGAATTTGTTTCAGTCATGTTTTCCAAGAGGTAGGCAGAGCCTCCTGGGGTAAGAAGACTGAGGGGAGTGCTGGGAGTGTGCAGCAATTGGTCAGGAGCAGGGGCCCAAAGCTACAACTCCATGAGCAGCAGGTGTAGGGGAAAGCCAAGAAAGGAGAAGTTTCTTTATGAGGCTGTAGAGTCATGAGACAGTCCCTTCAGTCTGACCCAAAAGGATGGGAGAATAGAAATGAGCCAGGGTGAGAGCCTGAAGGTGTTTCATGACTCAGGGTTTTTCCTTGTTCTTTCTCTTGATATTCACAAAACCCACTCATGCCATTTGCCAGATTATCTAAGACCCAGTGAAACCTAGGAGCAGGCCAGAGGGGGACAGGGGTGTGTGGGGGAAGTGTGAACTCCCAGCTCAGATCAAGTGCAAAGAGAAAGGGTGTATATAGGACTGGCAGAAGGAGGGGCCCTTACTGTGAAGAGCAAGGCTGGGATTGGAGTGCAGCGCTTCACATGGATCATGGCCAACACACTGGGAAGGTGGCCTTCCCTGGCTCCAGCAAAGAATAGCCTGGTAGAAAGAAAAGGAAGTCAGCCTGGGATGGCCCATGGACCACCTAAAGAAGGTCCCTCCCCAGCCCAGTCTCCCTCATCCATGCCTACCTTCTGCTCACACAGGAGCATCTTCCCCACCCCAACCAGGTACCCACCTTCCCATGCACACTCCAGCCCACTTGTCACAGGACCCACGTTCACAAGTGCAGGTGCAGGCAGACCAGAGGCAGCCAGTGGATAATGGATGGATTCTGGGTGCACGGAGACCCCGAGTATGGTCTGAGTGGTTTGGGGTTACTGATGATTGTGCCTTCACTTTGCGGGTCTCACAATGCTTTAATCCCTCTAAAAATGTGCTTCCCCCATTCTCAAGGGATACAGGTTCTCTGATACATGGGGACTGAACTGTCTGTCCATGGAAAGCCTTAAAAACACTGATATCCTAGTCAAGAAGTAGTTGCTACTTTGGGGGTGGAGAATGGGTGGTACACCAGAAAGGGAAACTTGGGTGATACATGGAAATATTTTATATCTCATTTTGGGTGGTGCTTACATGGCTGTATACATCTTTCAAAACTCATCAATCTGAACACTTACATCTGTGTATTTTATTGTATTGTACGTATTGTATTTTATTATACCTAAAAATTTATATATCCTTAAGCTACTTTTTCTATTCCCCAAAAAGCCATCCTAAGGAAATGAATAGTGAGTTAGTAAAAGGTATGTATACAAAGATACTCTAATGATAAAAAAGATTGGAAATATCCTAAATGCCCAAAAGTAAGAGATTGATTACATAAATTATGGTGTATATATAATATGGAATATTTTACAGTCATAATAATGTTAAAAAAATTGATCACATGAGAACATGCTCACAATACAATGTCAAATGGTAAAAGCAAGATAGAAAACTGTATGGTTCCATACAGTATGGTTCCAATTAATTTAGAAATTATGGACATGTAAAAACATACCAACTGATTATCTCTGGGTGATAGGATTATGAGTAATTTTAATTATCTTCCTTAGACTTTATTAAAAAATTAATTTCTAAAATAGACAAGGAATTTATAATTGGAATAAAAATTATTTTTTAAACTTTTTAAAAATTAAACTTTTTTGGGGAGAGAATTGTAGATTCACAGTCAGTTGGAATAAATAATACAGAGAGATCCTAGGTATCCACCCTGTTTCTACTGGTAACATACTGCCAAACTATAGTACAATATCATGGTCAGGCTACTGATGTCTAAAAATTAATTAAAATTTGTTTAATGTTTATTTAATTTTTGAGAGAGAGAGAGAGAGAGAGAATGAGCAGGGGAGGGGCAGAGAGAGAGGGAGACACAGAATCCAAAGCAGGCTCCAAGATCTCAGCACAGAGCCCAATACGGGGCTCGAACCCACAAACTGTGAGCCAAAGTCAGACACTTAACCGAATGATCCACCCAGGTGCCCCTAAAAGTTAATTTAAAAAAATGTTTATTTATTAAAATTTTTTTTAATGTTTATTTTTGAGAGAGAGAGATATAGCATGAGTGGGGGAGGGACAAAGACAGTGGGGAACACAGGATCTGAAGCAGACTCTGTGCTGAGAGCAGAGAGCCCAATGTGGGGCTTAAATTCATGAACTGTGAGATCATGACCTGAGCTGAAGTTGGACTCAACCGACTGAGCTACCCAGGTGCACTAAAAGTTAATTTTTAAAAAGAGAAGTTTTAACATAAGGGAACGCTTCTTCTCTGTCCCTTTTCGGAGAGAAAAGAATACAAGAAGCTGTTGGGAGTCATTTACATATTAGTGTGGATTAGCTTTTTCTTTTCTCTAGAATTTTGTAGGGAGAAAGAAACACCTAGAGGTAGGAGGAAGGGGATGGTGTAATGGGGTCAGAAAGGACAGAATCAGCATGCTAGGTGTTCTGAAAAAAAACTGTCACTTACATTGTAATTTGTGTGTGAGGGGGATGGAGCTAACAGCAGCAGTTTGATAGAGGTGTGGGAGTCCATTATGGCCCCAAGTACCCATGTGCATCACCATCAGCTGCCATCATCAACCTCCTAGGCCACTGTCACTAGTTTCATGCAGCCACACAATATCGCCCCTCTATGGTGCAGCCTCATGCACCCAACTGAGCCACAGGTGCTCTGTGGGCCTCATCATGCACATAGCCAGGGCTTTGCATTCACATCCCTCCTCCACATGCAGCCAGGACCATGTGTAACTGTCCAGGTCCAACAGCATTTGCAAGTGTCAAGTTCACAAGAGACAATTCTTGCCCAGCTAGCTGACAACGGAAGAGACAATGACATTAAGCATGACACACGCCACACACACTCCTATTCCTCAGGAAGGATCATCCTCTCCATACACCAAACATAAAAGAATAAGAGAGAGGAGGGAAGGAGGGGGAAGGAAGGAAGGAACTGGAAAGATGAGCAGAGGAGGCCTGGTGGGTGAGCTGTACCTCTGAATCAGAGGTCTCACACACCAGGGCCACTGTGTCCTGCATGCATACACAGCTATACCACATGCATGCAGACCACTGCTTGGCCTGCCTGAGGGACAAACCCCACTCTATAGTGACTATAGCCAGTCACTCTCCTTCCAATAGTTCTCAGAGAGCCTCATGGGTCACTGCTCTTCCACTGCTCGCCCTCGGTTGAGGCCTCCAGGTGACCACTGCTCCTGTGTAATACGCACACGAGGTTGCTGTGGGTGAGTCTCATAGGGTCCTGGGGTAAAGAGGATACCTACACTCCCTCTTCCCTGCCCTGGATCCTGAAAACATGGCACTCCCTTGACATTTCATGAGAACTCCTCCCTGATGGGATAGGTGGCTTTGGAAGCAGCTAAACCCAGGGACACCACTTTTACTGTATCTTTTCAGTAGAACTGTGCCCTGGGGGCAGGGAACTTTCTAAGAAAACTGGGAGAACCCCTTGAACCACACCAGTGGAAACTATCCAGTGTCTGCCGGCCTCAATAGCCCATTCCGGAGATAGTAAGAAGAGACACTGAGGAGGGGCCAGATTCCTAGAGGTGTGGAGGCAGGAGCTAGGGATTCCTGGACCCACTTGAGCTTCTGGCTTCCCTGAGAATTTGGGAGTTTGGGGCATGGCTTTGGACAAATGCTTTCTTTTAGCTCTTCCACATTTCTCTTACTTCACACACTCTGCCCTAGTCTCCTGAGCGACCATGAGAAGGCTGCCCACAGCCACATGTCTGTTGAGCAGGGAGAAGCTGCAGGGCACTCAGAGATGATCCATCCCACCTATGGGCTGGTCCCAGAACTTCCATGAGACACCAGCCCAGAAGCCCCAGGCCCATGCTCCTCCTGGTCCCTTGTAGAGTGGGGTTCCTTTCTAGCCAGCATAGCCTGTTTCTAGTCAAGTAGCAAAGGGGCTCTGAGGCTGCAGCTGAGACACTGTCCTGCTGCCAGTCACAGTGCTCAGACCTAGGACTGCATCAGGTGGCCTGGGACCTCCTCAGCCCTGGGCTCCTACTGAAATGAGGTGGGATGGGGCTTCTCGCCACTACATGTGAAGCCACACACATCGCAGGTAACCACGTGAGCAGCACACACCCCTCTGCATCCAAGCTGACACACATCTGCCCTTATGTGAGCAATCACCCCCTACCAGGTCACCACCCAGGTGCCCACACAGACCCCTGCTGATGGAGACAAATACCCCACATATACACAGAGCAATAAGCACAGCAGAATGGCCCCTGGTCCAGGAAAGGCCTGGACAACACTCACCGGGAAGAGGTGAAGAGAGACCCATTTACTCCTCCAAATGTGGACAGGGCAACAGAAATGGGCATGATCCAGGCCATGACCCCTAGGAGCTTCTCTCCAAAAGTCTGGGAGAGAAAACAAGGGGGTGAGCAGAAAAGGAGAGGTTACAACCCTCCACTTGTACATCATTCTTGGGAATGTTCCCTCCCATCTCTACCCTTGCTGAGTCTCTCTGACTAGGGTCCTGAGGGGAGGGTTGCAGGCCCCAGGCCCCTCCTGCACCATACTGCCACTTCCCTTCCCATGTTGATCACCACACAGTGGGCATTTAATCAGTGTTTTGGGCTATTAACTGAAGGAGACAGTGCATGGTGGTAATAATAATACTAATAACAACAACAACAACAACAATGACAATGATGTGGTAACATTTGTTTTCCTTGTCTTATGGATGAGAAAACTAAGGCACAAACTGAGATCACCAACCCAGAAAGTGGAGGGCCAGGACTAGAAGCCAGCTGTGTGAGTCAGGGCCTCATGTGCATTATACACAAGTGAGACAGGCAGGCCCAACAGTTTGGAGCTCTGAGACCTTGAACAAGGTCCTTAATTTTTGAGCCTCAGTTTTCCCATCTGTAAAACAGAAATGGATCCTAATTCATAGAATGAGAATTTCTAAATTTATAGAAATAATATGCTAAGAAGGGAAAAATGATAACAAGCCACTACATAGGCTGAGAAAGAAAAGACAGTGAAGCTATAGACTAGTCTTCATATATTGAAGGAATATAAAATGTCAGGGGACTAGCCTTTTCTATGTTTTCAGAGCCAAGTACACATTCAATTTCTAGCACGTTATGGGGGAGGGGTTGTTTAGAGTAGATGTCCTGCTGGGTTAGGCTGGTTGGTGGTCATGGAAACAGGCTACCACTGAAGGACCTCTTTCTTTACAGTCCTCTGAGATAAGCCATGTGATGACAGCTTGGCAGGGTGGCATCCAGGCCCAGGTGAAGCCAGGTGAGGGAACGGCATGGCTCCCAGGTCTTTCCTGGATATCAAAGACCCCAGTGCCTTGGATCTACATGATCTCTTTCCCCGAAAAGCACAAACCATTCCTACTTTCTCACTATTTACTGGCACACACTTTTCCCTGATGAGGGAAGGAATCAGGCTGCATGATTTCCCGAGGAAGAAGTGAAGGCAGAGAGAAATGGTGTTGTCTTCTGCTAGATTATATCTTTCTGAGGAGGAGCCTGCCTCCTTTATATAATCATCACATTTAGAGTTTAAAGTGCCCCAGATCAGGAGTTAGCAAACTTTTTCTGTAAAGGGTCAGATAGTAAGTAATTTGGCTTTGCAGGCCATACAGTGTTTGTGGCAACTAGACAGCTCTGCCGTTTTTGCTGTTGTAGGTACAACACGGCTGTCAGTTTGCTCCTTGGCACTTGAAGATGTGGTTTCTGCCCTGAGTACTTGGGTTGACTTCCAATTCCACAAATCCATGGATCAGGGAAAAGTGAGTGAGGCTAATCAAGCAAGTCTATGTCAACATTCCTGGTTTGAAGGACTGTGAGTTTGATTTCTTACCACAGCGACTGCGTTTGATGCCAGCAGCTCCTGAGGGGACATTGCAGTGACATAAGCGACATTGGCAAAGACATACACAAATGTGACCAGTGGGATGGAGATGAAGATGGCTCTGGGAAGGTTCCTGTAGAGGGAGAGGAGGTGAGAGGGGGAAGGCCTGGCACCTGGGACCACCTGCTTGTGATGGGATCTGGGGAGTGCCTTTTGTCTTTCTGCACACAGCTGACTTTGCAGGGCAGCTGACTTTACACTTTTCTGTGATGCTCCCTCTCCCTGGTGGGGGGGGGGGGGTGGATTTGTCTCAATATGGGCAGGACAATTTAAAGGAAATGAAACAGCGTAGGCTGGGAATATGCTCCATACTGTTGGTCCCTTCCTGACTGGAATCTCCATGATGTACCTCTCTCTCCTGCCTCAAGACACAAAGACCCTCCTGTCCCAAGACAGGTAAATAAGATGTCTGGAGGCCTCTCAGGGCACATTTCATCCTCTAAGGCAGTGGTGTTTCCTCAGCCCTGTTTCAACTTTTTAATCTGCTCTGGGACTGTCATGGCATCATTTTTCTCCTCCTGGCAGGGTGTATGGCAAATGGTTAAAGTTCCTGGGAAATAACTCTTTCTTTAGAATAGACCAGGTCATGGTCAGATGGTGCTGGAGGTGAAGTGGCCAGGGGACACCTGGCTCCCTTTTCCTAGTAGCAGGTGCCATGGCCTTTTGAGGGATTTGGGAAGAGCTGGGCTATTTCAACTCACTTGTAGGGATCAACAAGTTCCTCAGTCACGTAATTAAGAAAGTTCCAGCCTCCGTAGGCAAAGGAGCCCTGAAGGAAAGCCAGTGCGATGAGGCCGATGTTGGGTTCTTGGAAATTCTCAAATGCGTTCTTTGGCTCCAGCCAGAAATACTCTCCTGTGGACGCAAGGGGCAGGAGGCTGCTCAGAGAGATAAGCCAGAGGCCTGGCGGCCCTTAGCCTGCCTAGTCCCGTCTTGGCCCCTCCCTGCAGTGATGGTCCAGCTCTTTGTCTTGTTTCCAGTGAACCCCACACATCGGAGAAGTGGGACCAAAAGGAGCAGGGAAATAGAGATCTAGGACTTCCCCAGAACCTGTTAACCAGGAGTCCAAATGGGGATTCAGGTTCAAAGCACAGTGCTCAATGTTCTTTTAAAAGGCAAATTTACTTGGAAAGAAAGACCAGGGGTGGTCACTGGTTAGGGCAGGGTAAATCTGGGGCAGGTGGGGAGGTGGGGGGCTGGCTTGTTGAGATTTGGAGATACAGGATTAGGGTCATTGGCAGTCTCCTGACCACCTTCCTTTGTATCTAAGATATACCTATATCTACTTTTTTATACGAATGTAAACAGTTTTATTTAGAAACAGATAGGTACCTGTTTGTATTATAGAATATAAAACTTGATTTACACTCTATAAAAAATGACCAGTATCCAAATTCAAGAGAGCTAGCATTCACAGAACATACAATGTGGGTGTGTAGCTACTGCTCACCAGCCTCAGTCTTGACTTAAACCAAAAAGATAATCCAGGGGGATTATTAGAGATTAGAGTACAATGCTTGCTGCTGAGCACCCAGCATCCAGAAGTTGCCGTTTTAGCATATGAAGGTTTGCTTTCTAAGTGCGTAACTTTAATAAGGTCTAGGTGCTCTGTACCTAGTGAGCTGTGAGGCTCTCCTGCCACACAGTTTTCACAAAGCATGAAGAACAACAAACACTCACACATAAACTCCTATAATGCCATTATTAGTTCATGCTTGCTCTTTCTTTGTCAATATCCTCCTATCTCTTTCTAAGGTGTGTGTCTGGTCTCCCTCTTCATGGTATAGATTCCCTGAGGACAAGGTCCTTCAGCAAAGAGATTTTCTACTGCCTTCCCAACCCTTAGCACAGGGTCCTGTACACAGTGGGCCCTCAAGAAAGGTTGCTGATGACACTGTAATGAGACATGGATTAACTGCCCATATTTTATTTATTCATCTGTAATCCAGCATTTGGACAGGAAATAAGATTACAGTGATCAGGAGAAAGCACTGGGACCAGAATAGGAGGAACTTACTATCTCTGAAAAGATAGCACAGTGATTTCTTTCTTTCTTTCTTTTAGGGGAAAGCATGAGCATAGTCCCTACTACCACAAATTATGTAATCACGTTTCTCACATTTGGAGAAATCGCAGGGGTCAACACATCCGGAGTACAATGGATAAGACTCGCCCTGGGAACACCACCTTCATGATCATGGTATCTCCCCTGCCAGGTAAGTCCATACAACAATTTCTTTAAACAATATAACCTGCTAAAGAACTTAACATAACTGGTTGAAATAACAGCAAACTTTAATTAGTTTCTTGGAGTAAATATCCAGGCACCCCACAAGGCCTTTAGAGCTTGTAGGCAGATGGGAGGTCTCTCTGTTTGTCATCTGACTTTCTCCAGGAGGCAGTGACACTGGGCAGAGCCTAGTGGTGCCATGGTTCCCATGGAAGCCAAATACAGACTCGGGCTTGGAAAGGACCAAATCCAGTGGGGAATGTTGGCAGGGGCCCCAGGAATGTCGAGCTCTCTCTTGTAGAGATTATGAGTAATTTTGAAATGTGTAAAAATCTCCTCCATTCCTCATTTTAAGACATGGGCAACATACAATATAAGATGCAGGGAGCTTTCCTGGGGCTGGGGCAAGAGAGCAACAGGAGTCCAGAGATCTGGGGTCTTTACCTAGCTATGCTAGAGCCATGAGGTCAGCATGGGAGAACTAAATTCTGCAACCCAGGTGGGGCATGCTCAACTTCCAACCACCCCAGAAAAAATGGTTTCTTTTTCCCTTTGTCAAGCAAGTGAAGAAGAAAAATCATTCAAGGCCAGAACTGGGAAATCTCAGGGTGTGCACATGTTCAAAGACAGTGTGAAGGGGTATGTACATGCAAGGGGTGGAGAGTTGGGTAGGGCCCTGATGTTCAGGTGATACTCACCTTTGCAGATCTGTACAACTCCCATGATGATGATCAGGGCCAGGGCCAGGAGCTTCCCAGCTGTGAAAATGTCTTGAACCCGGGTGGCCCAGCGAACACTGGAACAGTTGACCCATGTGAGGAGCACTGAAATGACAGATCCCCAAACATACCCTCAGGGCTATAATGAGGCCCTCTGCACAGAAACAGAAATGCTCCTTGCTCCTGATGATGGGATTGTAACGGGCAAGCCAAATTTCCCTAAAGCTCAGCCCAGTGTCCAGAAACCTTGGCTAGGTTAATGGGTTACAAATGGGGATTATGTGCCACAAATTAGAGCTTGGTCAGAGCATGCCCTGCCCAGGGCTGAAAGCCAGAAGCAGGCATGTAAGTGTGGGCACTGGCTTTGGGGAAAATCAGCATCTGACCAGGGTGCAAGTGTGGGCTTTGTTTTCAGGTCACTATGCTCAGGAGGAGCCCTGAGCAGCTGGTAGATCCTGAATGTCATCTTCCTCAGCCTGAATTTGGGGCAATAGAGGTTAGGGGAATCTTTTGTTACCTGAGGTATAATTTACATAGAGTGAAATTCATTTTTCTAAGTGTACAGTTTGATGAGATTCAACAAACATGTTTCATTATTTAATCACTTCCACATTCTTTGATGTGTATTTACTTACGAGAGAGAGATGGAGCACGAGCGGGGTAGGGGCAGAGAGAGGGAGGCACAAAATCTGAAACAGACTCCAGGCTCAGAGCAGTCAGCACAGAGCCTGATGTGGGGCTCAAACCCCAAACTGCGAGATCATGACCTGAGCTGAAGTTGGACGCTTAACTGACTGAGTCGCCCAGGTGCCCCACTTCCTCACTCTTTATATGGAACATTTCCAACACCCTAAAAAGTGCTCTCTCTTGTACACTGTGCTCCTTTGAGGTCAGTCCCCTTCCCCTACCTCTGGTAACCATTAATTTGGCTTCTGTCACTAAAGTTTTGCGTTTTCTAGCATGTCACATGAACAGAATCATATAATATGTAGCCTTTTGTGTCTGGCTTCTTTCACTTTATGTGATGCTTTTGAGATCCATTCATGTATGGCTGTGTATGTCAATAGTCTGGGCCTTTTATTGTCAAGTAGTAGTCTATTTTATGTATCAGTTTTCTATTCACTGGCTGATGGACATCTGGGTTGCTCCCAGTTTGGGGCTATGATGAATAAAGCTGCTATAAACACTTGCACAGAAGTCTTTAAGTGGATTGTAGATATCTTTGAGAAGGGTTTTCATTGCTCTTGAGTAAATACCCAGGAGTGAGATTTTGAGTCATAAGGTAAATTATTATTATTTTTAAAGTTAATTTATTTATTTTGAGAGGGGGGCAAGGGAGAGGAGAGAAAGAATCCCAAGCAGGCTCTGCACTGTCAGTGTGGAGTCCAACATAATGCTCGAACCCACGAACCATGAGATCATGACCTGAACTGAAGTCAAGAGTTGGATGCTTAACTGACTGAGCCACCCAGATGCCCCTAACTTTATTATTTTTTAAAGGTTTTATTATTAAATAAACTTAAAAAAATTTTTTTTAATTGAGAGAGACAAAGATAGCATGAGCAGGGGAGGGGCAGAGAGAGAGGGAGATATATAGAGAGAATCCCAAGCAGGCTCTGTATGACAGTGCAGAGCCAGATGCGGGGCTCGATCTCATGAACCTGTGAGATCATGACCTGAGCAGAAACCAAGAGTGGGACGCTTAACTGACTGAGCCACCCAGGCGCTCCAAAGATTTAATTTTTTTAAAAGTAATTTCTACATCCAGTGTGGGGCTCAAGCTCACAATCCTGAGACCAAGAGTCATATGCTCTACTGACTGCGTGACCCAGACGCCCTCTGAATGTATGTTTAACTTTATAAGAAAACAGTCACACTGCTTTCCAGAGTGGCTATATCAGTTAGTATTCCCACCAGTGACAACAGGTAGTTGTGGCTATATCAGGTGGTATTCCCACCAGTGACAACAGGACGAGTTCCTGTTGCTCTGCATCCTTTCAGCATTTGGTATTGTCAGCTCCAAAAGTTGGGCTATTCTAGTGGGTATGCAGTGGTATCTCATTGTGGTTTCCATTTGCATTTCCCTAGTGAGTAATGATGTTGAGTATGTTTTCATGTGCTTATTTGCCACTATCCCTATATCTTCTTTGGTGGCATGAGGGCTTTTAACTCTGTTTTATTTCCTAGGAGTCACAGGGCTCTCACAGAGATCCCAACAACCTGGAGCCTCCAAGGGCTGGAAGAGAGTTGAGAGGCTGAATCCTACCACCACACTCACCAAGCAACCTGGGGGAGCCTGTGCCATAGGAACAGGACTCATACATGCTTAGGAAGAGCTTGAGAACAAAGGGAAGTTAAAATCCTCTTATTTCTCCCCCTAGTCCTCTAAAGGTAAAAGTCATACATGTAAAAGCACCAGATCTCATTTGCAACTACATGAATGGAACTAGAGGGTACTATGCTAAGTGAAATTAGTCAGTCAGAGAAAGCCAAATACCATATGACTTCACTCATATGAGGAATTTAAGATACAAAACAGATGAACATAAGGAAAGGGAAGTAAAAATAATATAAAAACAGGGAGGGGGACAAAACATAAGAGACTTTTAAATACAGAGAACAAATTGAGAGTAGCTGGAGGGGTTGTGGGAGGGGGGGGATGGGCTAAATGGTTAAGGGGCATTAAGGAATCTACTCCTGAAATCATTGTTGCACTATATGCTAACTAAATAAATAAATTATTAAAAAACAAAAACAAAAAACACCAGATCTCTTCTCAAGCTCTGGCCGGGCCTCTGACTTCACTTGAACAGCTAATCAAGTTATATCAATACTTGATCCTTAAACTGCCCTTTTACTTTTCAAGAGTTTTCCAACCTTACTTGATTCTGAGAGCGTTTCAGTAAGGGGTTCAAATGTTATTATCTGCCTGTAACCTTTCTCCCTGCACCTCTTCTACCTGGCAAGCTCCTTCTCATCTTTCAAGATCCAGCTCAAATGTCACCTGTTCGTGAGGCTTTATTATTTTACTTATTCCTGACGATGTGACTGCAAGGTAAGATACACCAGCTGCATTTTATAGACAAGGAACAAAGTTTGACCCTCCTCTCTACCCCCAGACCACTTTCTTTATATTTAGTTTTGGCATCTAGTTCTTTGTATTATAATGATTTGTTCCTTTTTCTCTGTTTTCATGTAGGCCAGGAAGGCGGGGACTGTGACTTTTCAAGCTTTTAATCCCAGGGCATCATTAGTGCCTGCAAATAGCAGGTGCTCAACAAATATTTAATACTTGGATAAAGAAAATGCCCCATATCATTAGACCTGTAATCTCATTTTAGTCTACACATTCTACAATGCACAGAATCTCCCCTGTTCCCCAGGAATCTCATCAAAAGAAGACACAATCCCCAGATGGTTGTACAGAGCCAAAAGGGCAACAGGAAACTTGACTTCAAGAGTAGAAACTCTTGACTCCTCATGGAGGAGCTGTTATCCAAGATGGTGTCATATAAGGAGAACCAAAACATGTTGTCAGAGGAAGGATTTTAAGTGCTTGAACAGGGAGAACATCTTGTAAATACTCGAATGTTCCAGATGGACTGAGACATCCTGATAAACACACATTTGGTTTATCTTACTCAATTCAAAAAGGATTTCAGGATCACATGCCTGGTGACAATCCAACCCAAGTCACTCTAAGCACCGGGGCCTGTGATCTGCTTCTCCTCAGGGCCCTGAGGCTTGCTAAATACAAGGCTGGGCCCCCGGGGCCCTAGGAATTCAGGCAGACACAAGCAATGACTTAAGGATAAAAGAGACTGATACATGAAAAGAAGATTAGGACACAATACCCATGAGGCTCAGGGATAGGTAAGGATTACAGATTAAGGAACCAGATTGTGATCACAGAGAAGAAAATTATCCTCTACCAAAGGGGAGGAGAGGGCATGGTGGAGAGGAGACAGCAAAGTACTTGGAGGGAAATAAGAGATGAGCAGGACAACTCACAGAAACTCCTCTCCCCCAGCAGGTGGGGGGTGGGGGGGGATGTGGCCACCTCCTGGTAGGCTGGGATAAAAAACACAAAATCATCTCCTTAGGAGGGGACTTTGTTAAGGCAACCAGAAAGATTCCTTCAGTCAGCTCCACAGTAGTGCTGGGGGATGGGAGATGTTTGAAGGAAGGGATAATTTGTCAAATAAACTTGCTGTGGGTGTCTTCTGTCCCACCTGAGCTTATCTCCACAATTTCACAAGAACCCAGCCCTTGACTAATATTTAACCTTTTACCTTTACAGGGATCTTTCAGAAATAAAAAGAGAAATCCTGAGAATGAGGTGGAGAGACAGGCTGCCTGTGACACTAATCTCCTTAGAACAATGGCTGCAGGCCCTATATCTGACCCTTTACCCTGAAGTTGGGTGATCACAGCATGTGACTGAGGGGAAAGAGGGCACTGTGAGTCTCCTGCTACCACAGGACACCTTTCCTCACAGCAGGCTGAAACCCGAGCCTCCAACCAGAGAGGAAAGGTCAGTGAGTGGAGGCAACACGGTCGGTGCTTGCCAAGTCCCTGCCCTGCTCAGGCCTTCTGTCTCTGCCTGTCTGCTACCCAGAACCCCTTTCTGTTGTTGATGACCGTGTCCCCTCTCTCTTCTCAGCCAGACCCTGCATTATGCATGTTTGAGAGACAGTGACCTCAGAGAAGCCACATGTAGATGGGGACTAGTGGCCAACTACAGCTTGAAATGTGAGGAGTTTCTTCCATCCATCTATCCATTCATTCATCCATCCATCCGTCCATCCATCCAAACATCATCTATAAAGGGCCTACATATTCTAAGCACTCTGGTAGAGTGCCTAGGGGAGTTATAAGTAAGACACAAGTTCCTGCCCACAGGGAGTTGACAGCCCAAGGGGGGATGTTGGATGAGCTAAAAGATAATCATGCAACAATGATCATGCCACAATGTGGTGGCAGCAGAGCTCTTCATGGAAGCCAGTGGGCTAATTCAGCCCAGGGGAATCAGATGCTTCCTATAGGAGGGAGAGACCCTAACAGAAAGAAGAATTTTATAATTTTGGCCCAGCTGGATAAAATAA